AACATAGAGCGGTTCCGGGTCGTGTCGGGTCAACCCGGCAACCCGCCGGGTCGGGTCCGGGTTCGGATTTTCGACCCGTTTCTCCACCCGGGTCGGGTTAGGGTCGACCCGTTTTCCACCCCGGTCAGTTCGGGTTCGACCCGAACCCGACCCGTGACCCGAAATTGACACTCCTAGAATGAGCAATGGTGGTCAGAATGATTGTAGTATAACGATGAAGATCGAATGATCGTAATCAAATGGTAGATGTCAAAGGATCATAATCAAATGGTAAAAGTCAGAGGATCTTAATCAGATAATTATAATAAAAGAATCTTAGTCATACGATTATTGTTAGAGAATATGGTTAGACAAACATATAAAAAATGGAATTTTTTTCTTGGAGCACCGTAGCGCTAGGTTAGCAACATTGCCGCATTGAACTCTTTAATAACTTTTTGGAAATTTAACTAAAGCTGTGACGTCGTGCTCTCCAGTAGAGAGCGTTGGGGCTCTGTAAGGTCGAACGTCGCAAGCCGTGTCACCAGGTCAAATTGTTATAAAAAATATCAAATTCCATAATTATTTTGTTTTAATAAAAAAGCAAACCCCCTTCAATTGTAGAGAGAGAGATATTATAGAGAGAGAAAATGGCTTTTGGGCAATTCTAATTTATTTTCTGTTGTTAGCCCAGTTTGAGTGGACCGATATAGGTACATCCTACATATCTCAGTTTTAAAAAATATGAAAATTTTGAGGGCTCTCCTAATTAAATTCACAATTTTATAGAGTCAAAATGAGGATAACTTTACACCCGCTAAATTTTCACCCTTTAACTTTATTATATTATAGATTGGATTATTTTGAATATTTATGATTTTTTTTTAAATGTATGCTATACAATTTGGAAAGTAAGTTATTCTTATCAATTTAAAAAATAATTTTGATCACAAAATATAATATTGTACTACAATTAAAGCTTCAAAATATAATTATGAATAATCCCTAGTAATCTAATGAAATTATCAAATTATGAAATTCTACGTAGTACTTGAATATGTTGCCTATTGAGAAAATATTTTGTGATGTATTTACATTTATTTTAATACAATAAAATGATATATATGCTTACCTAGTTAAAATGTACGATGCTGTGAAGCTCTGAAATTAGAATAAGTCTATCGTGCGGGATACACAAGAAGTCATAATAGCATAAAATTTTGTTTTATGATATGTTAACACATATAGTCATAAGAGTCTGAATTCTAATATTTGTTTCTGATATAAATCTATTATTTTTCAGTTCTAATATATGTAATACTTCTTTATTTATTTTCTTTGCATTACTATTTAGATTTCTAATAAATACCATCATTATTTTATTCAGTACAATGAACTATTATTAACTGCTTTTAAAAACTCAATTAAATACATAATATGTGAAGTTTTAAAAATTTAGATCGGTGAATGTGACATGCTGAGTTGTGTTGGCTCACAACTATTATGCATTCTATTTCTGATCAGGAAAAAGGGAAAGAGCTGGTTGAGTAGTTGTAGTGTCATGTTCTAATATGTTTGAATATGTATATGTATTTTCTAAGTTTTGTACAATCATGACCATTTATTTATTTATTTGTTCTATTTTGATTTATAGTCATGCATTGTAGTGTATATTTGTTGTATAAGCAATGAATATAAATTTGTGGATTAGTTTATTGTTTGGCTTATTGAAAGTTACTTAGAAGTTCTATGTTTTGTTTAATTTAAAGAAAAAAAAAATTCAAGAAGCCCCCAAAATTTTGATCTTGGGCTTGATTTGTCACCATTCAACACAATATGACATATTATGTTTATGGGTTATATTAGGTTGTGTTGTGACACTGAGGTCGGAGGGTCATTATTAGGTGATGATGATTAAAGGATCATAATCGGGTAATAATGGTCGAAAGGGTCATTGTAGCATGTGGAAATTCAGTGGTGGTTCAACGAGGAAAGTCAAGTGTTGGTCAGATGATGGGGGCGGTAGCCCGACTATCGTGGTCGGGCATTGTTTTGGTAGTGGTCCGACGACGATGATTGGGCGATGACTTAATGGTGGAAGCTCAGTGGTGGTGTTTATGCAGCTCCATTTCTTAAAACCTCTAAGCTCTTTAGAATCTCAAGCATATTTCCAATTTTTTTAAAGTGGCATGTCTTGGAAATATAATCAAAATTTGAAACATTCCGTCAAATGACCTATGCATCGTTCCGTCAATATGTTTAGTTCGACCATAAGTTCTCTGGAATTGATGATCATATGACTATGAATTTAAAATTGGAAATTTGAATTCAATGATGTGTGCAGAATCATATCCGATCAAATTGATTTTTATAATAATAATAATTCCTTTTTCATATAAAACTGAAATCATTTACATTTAAAAAAAAAAGGAAAATCATTTGATAAAGAAGATTTATCTAACACTCCTCTTACCTTAGAGTCACCGGCTTATTCTAGACCGGGAGAGTGACAAACAAAGTCTAACACAACTCTCATTGGCTTATTGGTTGAGAGCTTAGGCTTCCAACTAAGAGGTCCAAGATTCGAGTCTTTGTGTATGCGTTGTGTGTATGAGTTTGCCTTAAATGGCCTAAATGTGTTTGCCTTAAAGGGCCTAAATGCCCCCAAAAAAAAAAAAAAAAACAAAGTCTTCGGTCCACCGTAGCTCCTCCGGTCCAACTCTTTGACCATTTCCTTCTCTGTTTTCTTTTTTTTTTCTGTCTTATAACTTATAAGAAGAAAATAAAAATTAATGTGAGAAAATCAAATGTGTTTTCCATCAGAGTAACTTTAAAATATTAATATTTAATATTTAAAAGCTCAAATTATATTGTATTAATCATTTTTAAACTAAACTATATATAAAAGATATCTTATTATTTTGAACATAAATTAATATTAAATTTTGAAGGCATTATATATTTAAATTTATGAATTTTTTTTTCATAAAATTAAAAAATAAAACATAAATATATTTATAGAAAATATAAATATGAAGATTTACAATGACGACCATTTTTTTTTCTAGACATAGCTAATGCAATATACATGAAGATTTTTTTTTAGACATAAATAATTTTTTTCTTATTTAGGAATGTTGAGTGATAAATTATGAAGTAAGTGCCTTAAACTTATTACTTTGGAGATTCAACCATCTCCTTGAGCAAAAGGTCCACCGATCCTTCGCAAATAAAGAGATGTGAGATAATGAAAAGAAGGTTTGTCGAGTCCATGCGAGTGCTAGGAAGGAAATAAATATGTCACGTAAGGGAGAAATTATTATGTGCGAAGTCTGGATGCCGTCCGCACTCCAATATGAAAGGGTTGCGTCGCTGTACACAGTGAGTATATTGACAACATGCCGCCTTTCATTAGAGTCCAAACGTAGAACGAGAGCTATGTCTGGACTCCACACGTAATAATTTCTCCATATAAGATCGACATCTGGACCAGGATAATCTTGGATCGATCCAAGACGTTTGGGAAGGTTCAAAACTCAAATCAATTGGTTGAAGCATGTACAAATTTCATTTACCACATTGATTTGCAAAAATTCAGGTAAGAATATCATAAAATATCAAGTCACGACCAAGTCCATGGAAATCAGTTTTCATCCTTCACGTTAATAAGTCTTCTAGTATGACCTTCCAGTCCCCATCACATAGGACTATAAGACCAACACACTCTTCTCTTCTCCTCTATCTCAGAAGTACAAAACTTCTATTTAATTACCTTCTCTCTCGCTACCATATAGAGGAAGGAGATCAAGAGGAAGAAGAAGATGGGAAACTGCCTGGACCGGCAAGTCGTGCCGACGACTTATGACATGAACGGCGGCGAAGAGCTCGATGACCAGCGAAAGCAGGAGGAGGAAGAAGAGGAAAAGAAGGATGCAGCTTCCACGGTACAGGTAAAGATAGTGATGAGAAGGAAGCAGTGGGAGGAGTTGATGAGCAGTGG